AACCCTAAACCCTAAACCCTCGGTTGTATGGCCCCTCCCTTGCTGCAGTGTCGGAACATACCGAGGCTCGCCAGGCCCATGGGCTCTCGCAGCGACTTCCTCGGCTCTGCTTTGCAGAGTTTGGGGTCGGTTGACAGTTTGAGGGATGTAGGGCTTTAGGGCTGTACAGCTGTAGGGTTTTAGGGTTTAGCGCTTTAGGGCTGTAGGGGTTTTTAGGGTTTATGGAAGAGCGAGAAGTCATGTAAAGGTGAGAGTTTCCCGAAGTGTCAAGACCTCAAACCCAACCCCCCGAAACAACATGAGGCTCAGCTCCGGAGCCCCAGTGCGGGCCTCGAATCGTTTAGGGTTTTACCTATAGTCTCCATTGTAGTTCCTTTTTTTGGTTTAACCAATTCATATATTAAGGGTTTTATAAGCTATCCCCAAAAAGGAACTACAATGGAGACTACAGGTAGGGTTAGAAGTTTTCTGAAAGATGTTGTCTCTGGAGATTCCGCCGGCAGCCCCACACCGAAGCTCTTTGGAGCCGCGGCCCAAGGATGGCATGTGTACCCCTGCTTGAAGTCGCATGGGCAGCCCGAAGACTTTGAATGGTGATCGCTTGAAAGGGGAAGCCTCTGCGATGGAGACTATCATTACAACTATAATCTGCGGAAGCCGGCACAGAGGCTTCCAATGGCCAGCTTTCCGACAGAGCACGAAGAGTCATAGAAGCTCAAAAGTATACAGATTGCAGCTCCTGAAGTAATGGGCGGCGGTTCGGAAAATAGGCTCCACCATCATCCAGCCCTACAAGAGTGGCGTGCTCAGACGCCTCCGTCCGTGGTGCTCATTGTCCCGTGCCAAATTGCCGTCCTCTTCATACACCGTTTAGGGCGCCTTTAGATGGCCATGTTGTGTTATCGCCATGCTAACTGATGAGGGGTTTGTAGCACGGCCGGGAGGTGGAGGGCGAAAGCCGGAGACCTTCGAGGGTGTTCGGCCCACAGCTGCAATGTTTGTTCTATCGGGAATCACAAGACCGATCCGGCAGCGAGTCTTGCACCTTCCCTGAGGCCTGGCACCGCAAAGCGCATGAATCTCATCACGCACATGAAGAGGCCCCTCTGTATCATCTATACATATACATACATAGATGCATATATATATATATAATATATATATATATACCTCATATTCTTTATTCGTCTTCTTGCCTCTTTGCTTCTTCCGCGCCTCTTTGTCAGACTAAAAAAGCAGGCGCAAGCCGAGCAGCTGGCCCTCAGGCAGGTGGTCATAGTGCATGTTATCCTAAGGGTCCAAGTACCCTAAAAGGGACACTAATTGGGGCTGAGATACTTGTAGTACCCTTAAAGGGAGACTAATTGGGGTTATGATACTTATAGTACCCTTAAAGGGAGACTAATTGGGGCTATGATACTTATAAGTCTATGAAACAGCTACTTACTAAGTCCCCCGGCCCTCCAAGTAGGGGTCCAAGTACCCAATACTCATATACCCTCCCGAATACTAACCTACAAAACTACCATCCGTAACCCAAGTACATGATGATTAGGTCCTTTGGACCCTTAGGGTTATGTCATGGGACATATTGTGTGTTATACAGTGCGTACTACAGAATGGGGACGCCGATACGGGTAACATCGACATAGTCTGTTATATTCTCTCAGATGGCACTGATGAGTCATAGGCTGTAATTGAGACCTGAGAACAAAGTTTTGCTTCTTGGCGCCTATGTCATGTCGGGGCCTGAGCAGATGTTTAGGGTTCCTTACTATGGCTGATAATTAGAACAGTGCGTGTGTGCATATATATATATATAAATGAATAATGTACCCCGAAGCCCTTTCCTGTTCATTAGGGCCGCTATATTCCTCACAGCTTGAGGTTGAGCTGAAAGCGGTTCTTGTGCTGTCTCAAATCAAAACCTGCCTAGAGCCCAGAGTGCGCTTCGCAAAATCTCGTACAATGCCAAAAGACTACAACCCTAAACCCTAAACCGTACTGTGAAAGTCACCTTTCCTCCGATACTGCGATGGTTAGGAAGACGTTGTTTCCCAATACATTCAACACTCGAAACGCTTGTCTACTTTAAATCCCTATATGCACTTCACTAGCCTGGCATGCCGGTCTCATGAGCAGATTGTGCGAAGTGCACACACACACAAAAAAACTACGGTAAGACGTCTGTGTGGGTTATGGAGATGACCGGAACAGCACTGCTGTGAAGACGTCCCGATTGTCGGTTTGCTGAAATGAAGAGAGGTTCGTTCATTGCACCGGCAACTTTTTGTCCTCATCAATGTGAGTCACCTTGGTAAGTGAGCTTTGGACTTTGGGGTTGGTATGTCGTTCATGTGTGGCATGTGTAGCTGAACGCGCACGTGCTCTGTTCCTTTGAACTTCCACAGTGCTCACTGAAGCTGCTGCCAAAACTCACATTTTTTTTCACCATGTGTTTGGACGAGCACTCTCGACGAGATACCTGT